CTCTGTACATGTTGCATGATACGTGCAATGACCGTTGTGCAAATGTGTCCGGAAGATCGAGCAAACTGGACCCCGCGGAACGCCACATCTTTGTTTACTCGTGTATTGTGCCATCCGTCGCTGAGAGGGTCAAGAAAATAAGAGTACTGAGTTTGAAAGTTGTTCGTATCGGAGCTCAAATATACGGAGATGTCCGTACGCCGCAATATCACTGAACATTCAACTCATCGTCCTAACATTGATTTTATTGACCCTCGAAGCGACGGATGGGTAGGAGCCTGCGGCAGAACCAGATATGAGATACGTGTGCAGTCGATCAATATTCAATGACTGTGCATGCGCACTTGTACACTTGCAGTCTTCAGACCCGACGGTAGGATTGGCATACCGACGACATCCTTTCATTCTACCGCTTCGAGGCTTTGGGCGGCAGACGCAGGCAGGACCCCCGACAACCACCCAAGATGTATGTTTTTTCTGAAGGGGTCAACATCCGGATGGGGTGCTGCCTCCCGGACGCCGTTGGCATCCGGAAATCGGTTATACATCAGCTGAACGCGGTTTGTATCCGGAAAGTGACACATACTCTACATCAAAAATCGCAAAAATACCGATAAAATCGTAAAAAAATCGCTACTGCGCCAGCAGAGCTGAATGCTACGAGGAGACGCTCGAGTGTGCAGAGAATGATATTTTGTCCCCAGACGACGGTCTTGCAGGTGTCTGAGCCTCACCGCGGCCTGATCGCGAGATATCTGGCGTCCGGATTTTGCACAGACCTGCACCTCGCCTCGTCTTGCATCCGGAAATTTGCACAAACCTTGGCCCAAAATTTGGCCATTTGGCATCCGAATTTGAAGAGACCTCCGGCGCTACGCGCCGTTTCGCATCCGGATTGAGAACACACATTTTGGGTGGTTGTCGGGGGTCCTACGCAGGCTCAGCTTGAGTACCGCTACATCTTTCAAACCCAATTTGTTCGGCGAGATCCTCATGCGTGTTGCAACCATCAGGACACACCTTGGACACTTTGACACCAGACCTTCCGAGACGAACTAAACATCCGGCCATGATGAGATTCTGCGCACAGGGGAATTGCGAACAAGGCGAGCACTCACCGTATGGCATCATTTTGGGCACGATAAATGATTGGTTTCAGGCAGCGTGGTGGTAGGGAGAAGAAAAAGAGAGCGTCTGGTACCCTCCGATTTCATGTTGGAAGGAATATGCATTCCTACTAGCACCATTTCCGGTATGTCTGGGATGTACTGGAGTCCTTTGGGAGTCCTCGGAGTACTTAGGACGTCGGGATGCACGGAGGCTGTAACGGGTGTTTGGGGATGTTTGGCTCGTTCAGTAGACACGTTCTTCGGTTTTGCTGTAGTTTACACTGTCGCATACGACGACGACGCCTTAGCACAGCTCCAGCGACTCGAGTGTGTACCACTCCAACACCGCCTGCCAAGTAGAACTTTCTGCTTGTTAAACATTTGCTTTCAGAAAGACCTGGAGGCAGTTTGACCAAGATTTAAAGAGGTTTGACAGACTTCAAGACTTCGAGGTCGTACTCGTTTTAGTAAGAGCGTGTTGCGAGCGCCGAGCTTGAATTAGAACTCGAACTCGCGGATAGGTTGCGCACCGCGGGCCGTGTAACTGTATACGGTTTTTCTAATAAAGCCGTTCACGACCTAACACTGAAAATCGTTCACGGCCGGTCGTATAGTTTTGAGGTACCATTTACGACACAGAAGTAACATGAATACGGTTTGTGCAAACCAAATTGAGGGTGAGAGGCATGAATGGTCTCCAGGAATCATATCGATTTCAGAATATAGTTGTCTGGCACCAAAAAAATGTGAATGGTTTTCTAGTACCATAGCTGATGTCGGTCATAACGGTGTAGAGAAACCGTATTGCGTTCGGTATCCGTGAACCATCTCGAGAACAGTGCGCCTAAACCAAAATCAAAATGGTTGTGCCGCACAATAAAAAGGTACACCCCTCCGCGGATCGAACACGCGACAACTGTAAGAAACGGGCGCGCTGGACCACTGTGCCAAACGGCCATACTACAGTCATCAACCGGTCACTGCGACACCACCGCCGAGTGATACACCTCGATTTCCACTACTTTTCTTTGCTCTTTCATCTTTAAAATATTTGCATGATATGAGCCTACCCTCTAGTCAATATTCTATCATTTTTCGGTGAATTTTGAGTGCCCAGAAAATTGTCGAGAGCTGGTACAGTTTGTTGGTGGCTGTGCAGATGATGCCCAACGGGTCACTGATACACCTATATTTGAGCAATATCTCATTCAATTCTGTTTCTTTTCCTTGATCCTCTCGCACAGGCCCTCTACAGAGGTATTGTGTGGTATCTACAACAAAAAATTCCAGAGAAATGACTTTCCCGGGGTGCAATCGTTGAAAAGAGTTTTGAGTGTATCACGGGCCGGTGGATGACTGTACTACTGTAACATGGACTTTCTCTATTTTCTTTACATTTTCTCTTTTCGTTTACATCTCATCACTTTAGCATATTCGCGACGCCTGCCGGCCTCGCGCTGATACCGATCAAGTCATGTCCGGGAAATCTCGACACGACGCCTAAGTTCTGCCTACCCGTCTACACGTTTTTGCATGTACTTAGTACCAACTGCTCGCCTGAATACGATACCTCTTTTTTACCGCCTAAACACACGCCTAGCTCTGCGCTTCCGTCACCGAGCAGGGCGCCAGGCGGACCTTAAGTATTCTTTGTTTTCTCTCGAGCTCACTGTGCTCACAGCGACGACCCGCGTCGCGAATCTCTGCAGATCGCGCCACCGTACGTCGGAGACCGCACAGCGACTCGAGTCAGGCTCGAGTCGTGGAGGAGCGCCCTTTACTCGATTGGGTCGAGCATACACGCGCTCCTCTCGTTAGCGTCTCCGGCTTATACGCCGATCGCGGATACACCAAACCAACGACACCGACTTCCCCGCCGTTCTCGCCAGGACTCACGACCACGCGGATCCCACCTTCGAACGTTCGTAGAAGACGAGCGTTACAACTACTTTGGTACAGTATATATACAATGTGTCAAAAATTTAGTATTTACAAACCAAATTGTCATTTTGGTTTACCACGACCCTTCCTGGTTAATTTGCGTCATGTAAACCATTTCTTTGGCTGCAATATGGTCAACAGAATCTATTATGAAGAATAGACCTGATAGTCTAATGGTTAAACGGTCAACAAGCAACTTTGTATGGTTTCTGTGAACCATTTCATTTCTGGGCGCTTGGGTTCAACTCCCCAGAATGGTAATAAAAAAGTCAATTTTGCCGGTTTCAAGTTTAAAAATGGTTTGTAGAAACCATTTTGGGACGAATGGTGGATGAAAACTATTCTATTGTGGTTGTCTGGAATGGTTCATGAAAACTATACGGCCGGCCGTATACAAGCTTTGGTGGTAGGTCGTGAACGCGTTTATTAGTAAAACCGTATACACTTATACGGCCGGTCAAGCGCAGCCTGCCCCCCGAACTCGAACTTTGTGCACTAAGTAGGGTACTATCATGGACGGTCACTTCGACCACACCACGTGTTCGACCATTCGAACATCTCCCTCCCGTTTCTTTTCCGATAACTGCGATCTCAGGTGCATCTTATAGGTAGACATGTCAGGTACATAGATCTCTACGAACTGATACATGACAAGCAATCCAATTACTCGAAAAACGGCTAAAATCACGGAGTGTAGCCAAAATTTATATGTTTTGATGTCTATGCACGTCTACTCCCTGGGATGCCTAGTATCAACCACACTAATAGAAAGCCTTCGATAGCTTGAAGATGCTAGAAAAGAATTGCGGCTGGTGGGAAACCGCAAACACGCAACAGGACCGGTCTGCCAGCCACCACGCACTGTCCTCGAGGCTTACGTGCGCGCAAGTGTGCTCGCCGATATATATCTCCCATTGTCGAAATACATGAACCACAACATCTAATACCTCTATACGACGATGACCCGCATACCCTACGCACGACGCAAACATTCCCCGCCGTCCTGGGAAGAGCGCATGCAGTCCGCGCTCGAGAACGTCAGGAACGGCCGCCATGGTGTCCGAGCGGCAGCTCGTCTATGGGACGTTAAACACAACACTCTCAGTGATCGCTTGAACGGACGCCACGGGCCAGCGCACGATGCTCACGCTGACCAGATGCTTCTGTCACCCGCACAAGAAGCGGTTTTGGTCGAATGGTGCCACTATCTTTCTTTGACTGCGCATCCACTCAACCGGCGTACACTAGCGCCGAAAGTCGAAGCTATTGCTGGGAAAACACCTGGAATACACTGGATCGAAAGGTTTTTGGAGCGACATGCCGAAGAGCTCCATATGGGAGGGACATCGGGTCTAGATCTCAAGCGAGCACGGTCCTTCAATTTTACGACGGTAAATGATTATTTCGAAAAATTGCTTGCATACAGGAAGGCGCACGACATACCATGGGAGAACATCTACAACATGGACGAGAAGGGCATTCAGTTTGGAGGGGGAAGGAGAAGCCGCGGCATACGGTATATTATTTCTCGTCGCAAACGCAATCATTATCGTGCAGCAAGTGCCGACCTCGAGCTAGCAACTATTGTTGAATGCATTGCGTCGGATGGGTTCGCGATGAAGCCAGGCTTCATTTTCCAGGGCAAACGTGTCCAGCGATCATGGATCGGCAGCCGCACTAGGGAGGCAGGGAGGTAAGTTACACACAATATAGGTCTGTCGATGCAAGATGTGCTCACCATGAATCCCGTCGAGTATAGCATCGCCGCCTCGGAGAATGGATGGACGGACGATCACCTATCGCTCGAGTGGTTCAAGCAGGTGTTTGTGCCAACGGCACAGGCACGAAACAAAACCCGGAAGCAGATACTGGTCCTCTGGGATGGGCACGGCTCTCACGAGACACACGCTATACGCGAGCATGCTATTGCGAACGGTATCGACTTGTTTGCATTCCCATCCCACTGCACCCATAAACTGCAGCCCCTCGATGTCATGATCTTTGGGCCTCTGCAGCGTGTATGGGCCGCTCGCTGCGACACACTTGCAGATATTGGTCAGATTATCACAAAAGAAAACCTAATCGACGAATACCTGGCTGCGCGAGACGAGGTCATTCGGCCATCTGTCATCCGCTCCGCATTCAAGAAGACCGGGATCCAGCCCTTCGACCCGACGGTGTTCGGCGAGCAGGACTATATGCCGAGCTATGAAACTTCAGTAATCGCACACTTTCCCAACAGTTACCCACATATTCACTCACCTTCCTCGGATTCGTCCTCCTCTTCGACATCCTCGACCACCTCCTCACAGCCCAGCAGCCCAACATTATCTGCAGGCCCTGCTACTCGATTCCGTCGTCCTGTAGGTCCACTCCACCCTCGCGCTTTGACGGTGAACTCGTCAAAAAGCGAATTATTTGACGAAATTCATGACCTACGGCGGAAGCTTGATCGTGCTAGAGCCACGGCTGAGCAGAACCACGCACACGCAATTTTGATGGGGCGTCAGAACATACGGCTTCGCGCACAGATGCAGCAAAAGCGGAAAACGAGGCGCCGCGGCGGTGGCTCGAAAACATTTGCCGGCGGTGCAGATCTCTTGACTGGGGATGCAGCAATGGAGTCACTGATCCAGGAGGAGGCTGATAAGGAGCGGGAGGCTCAGGAGGCGGCAGACAGGCGCGCTGCAAAGGTCACTGCACAGGCTCGGAGGGCCCAGGAAAAGCGAGAACACACTGCTGCCGTTGCGAAGAGGAAAGCCGAGCGTGCACTGAGCAAGCTCGTCAAGGATGACGAGAAGCGGAAGAGGGCGGCGGCGAGAGCGGCAGAGACATCAGGAAAACTCGATTTTTCTTAGGCATCTTATATGATCTTACGACTGTCTTATGCTGTCTTGGTCTTAAATTCTCTTAGAAATGATCCGATTGTCTGGGTAAATCTGCTGTAAGACGCAGCAGACGGCCCAGATCACCGCCAGACGATGCAATGTCTGGTACGCTCTTTCAAATGGGCAGAGAAAGCCTGGTTATATTGGAAAATACACATGAGTAGTCTCCGCATTAGTGGAGAGCACGGAGGGCTTGCAAAGCGTATTACTGTCAAGCTGCGATTTTTGTCCGGAAAGACACGCAAGAGACGCGCCGAAGCGCGCGCAACACCTACGATGCTACTTGACCGGAATCCCCAAGTCAACTGGGAATGAACGCGGAACGCACTCCCTCACATGCATTATCGCTCGTCTGAAATTGAGAAATTAGTACAAAACAATCAAGCTAATCACAAGTCGACGTACCTCTATTTCTCACTCACTGGCTGTGCCAATCATTGCATCCCCAGCTGCCCACGGTAAGGAGACTTAGTTGACGCTCACAGAAGTAAGTAAATCATCTCGCGAGGCAAGACGCTGTTGCAAGGGAGTATTAGGAGCGCTGGGCAGTGAGCGACGTTAGGCTCGCGCTCGAAGATTGTGGCGTGAGTTTTGGTACTGTACAGTACCAATTCAACTCCGCTCGCGGCAGCCGTGCATATCGAAAATTTCCACAAGTCCCAGAAGCGTCGACAACTCGTTGGTGTTCTTTCCTTTGCTCGAAGGCCCGCTCGAATCTGGACCATAATCATTGGACTACAACTTGGACAGTGTAATATACTCGTATACCTCCCCCGCTATCAACAGCGCTTGGTCGCTTGCACTCACTCGAAGACGAAGGGAAGTCAATCCCAATATCTCATCCAATACCCACAACGAGGAGCAAGGCTATGGCTACGGTCACCATAGGTTTGCTGGCGGACTCCAGGTAATCACAGGGGCCACTCCGACCCCGCTGTTCACCGGTGGCACCGCAAGCCATCAGGTACGGAGAAATAATTCGCGCCCTGATTGTCAGAAATAGTGCGCTGTCAGGACTCAAAGTACGGACTCAGCCAGCCACAGCTACAAACAGTACCAAATAGTTTGACTTGCCTGCGTCGTTCCTCATGTACTTATCCTCACTTCTGCACCATATACTGTCGTTGT